TAGCCCAGAAAGAGCCAGATAGAATGAACGCATGATCTTCCTTGCGCAATCTACAATTAAACACAATCTGCTTTGCTGCACCATCAATCTACATTAAGTTGACGCTTTAATATTCTGATCTGCCTGGACTCCAGGGTATGTCTGACCGTGGACTCAGGCATTCAAGTAACCATAGATTTTCAGTGTAAATCGCATCCCATACTTTCAAATCTAGGATGCATCTAAGATTCCCACTCTGAAACTTTTACAACTGTCAAGACAAAATCATTATGGAATAAATGTGAAGGATTACTATTAGAATATTACCTATTTATTCGCAGCAGCATTCATATATATACAAAGCTTAGAATGGAAAGTATCCAGCATCATTTCACGTCCAAATTACTTGGATACCATTGTCAGAAAGACTACGTTTCAAGCTGTTTCCAGATCTTAATCCACTCTGGACGAGTCGGCTTAGTATAAATCTAATGTTCTCCCTTAAGTTCTTGCACGAGATATAGTTCTCGGACAGCAAGAAAATACGCTTCCCACTGGAAGGCTGTTACAGTCTGAGGAACCGAGCATGCGTGGTAACGGTAACAGCCTTTTAAACAATTCTCTGTGAAAACTTCTTCACAATCATGTCTTCCAAACTATGGAACCATTTCCCCTTAATAATAATATTTTATTCACATAAATTAAGCATTTACATGATTGACATACCGTTTGTACAGGCATGATCATGTTTGACTAGTGCAATTTGAAATGGAACACTGTTTTATGACATTAAGCAGATACAGCGAACCAACTTTGCGAAGATAAACAGATTTCAGAATAGAATTTGCTCCGCTTTCCATAGCATGTGCTGACAATATTCTGAATAACGTTCAAGTAATACAAACGTAGAAAGCAGAATCACTGTACATTTGCAGTTCTCCGATGCAACACCTGCGAGAGGAGAAGACAAAAGAAAACAGAAAGAGAGGTGCAGGGGAAGCCAGCAAATAATAATTTAAGCAAAGAGTATGCGATAACCGCAGGGTTCATTCCGCTTTTTTATTACTAAGAATTTATAGTCGTTGAGTTTTATAGTGTTACATACTAACGGTTAGTTCAAGTTTATGGTAGTAAAAAAATTTAATAACAAGATTTAATATAAAATTAGGGAGAAACGAGTGATGATGTCCACACCTCTATAGGGTAATGCTGGGAATAGAAACTGAAGAAGTTAAATCCAAACGTCAAAGTACATAAAATATGTAGAAGAAAAGAGAAAGTATAATAATATTTGTTTATGCTGTTGTTTTGAATTATACAATTAGATGTCCTTCTGAAGTAGAGAAATCGTACCATGAGCTTGTTTTTAGAGAGTTTATATACAAGCTGTGTCATACATGCAGCTTTTCTTTTTTTGTTGAAGTTATTCAAACTCAGGGGTCTTAGCAATAGGGCGCTTTCCCGCAGATAAGGGTGGTTCTCTTAAGTCCCCACCATCATATCCGCTGAATAGCAGTCACCACCCTCCCACCTTTTAATCTGCTAGGTCCTGGCGAAATACTACTCTTTTGAAAAAATCTTTTTTATTCCTGTGTCACATAGTCTGTCTTTGTATTCATTAGCTAAACCAACGAAATTCATGGTATGATTGACTACTTTAAGTCAGCGATTTTGCATTTATCGTCTCTAACAGCATTTTAAAAATATATATGTAGAATAAAAAAGTGAGGCAATCAGAGATTTGCAGTCTACCTTCTAGATTTTAGTTATAAATATATGGAAACGAAGGCGCAATATGAAATGGTGCGAAAAACACTACATAAAGGTACATAATTATTAGAAGTCGGTTATGTGGTTTACACTATCTATTTGCAAGCCGTTACATTTTGATGGCCACGCAAACAATACAAGTGCACAAGTTATTTCTAGAACTCATCACATATTAGGAATATTAAATGTCCATTAACAACACCTTGCTTGATAAGGTGTCATGTATACAAGTATACAAAAGACAACAAGAATAACAATATACATTTAGTAAACGAAAGTGTGCGGTAAATGCAAACATGTATACACAAAAATATCAGAGTTCTGCCTGTGTAATTGTCCACTATTTTGTGTTTTTCTGTTACTTTATTGTTTGTCTCACCTCTTCTTCCGGCCTTGTAGTGACAGCCCACAGTCCTACAGTCAGACTGAAGTTAGGGGCAGCATTTGATATCACTAAAGTATATACACCACATCGTCCTTCAAGGTTATGGTTCACTAAGCCCAATTTCCTCAAAGACTTGCAGGCTGCCACTTGCGTATGTTGACCAGCGTCCTGTGCCAGCGGTATTGATGACCTAAAAAGAAGATTAGGCTTGCTATTAAACGTTATCCTATGTTTAAACCAACTTAAAACCATCACCACGCGTACACATTACACCTCAGCCATCAATGGCGGCAATAGAGAAATTCAAAATATTCATTCGCACGAAAGACAATTCATTAAAACGCAAGCGTACGATGAAATCGCTGAGAAAATGAGGCATATATTTGACTGAGTTCAAATTAACACACCGTCAGACTACACATAAAGGATAAGATGCAATACCCTACACAGAAAAGCTGTGATGGAGAACTGCCTTTAAACTTTATTTCTTCCTTGGTGTTTGTAATCGATTCACCACAGACCTGGGATTTTCGCTAATGTGAAGACAATACTTTTATTTTCTTAATGCACTACGTTCACTAAGTGGTTCGTACGTTCCAAATGATCTAGTGCTGAAAAGAACAGCAGCAATGCAACTCCGTCATACACCGAATTTATATAATTTAAATAATGACTGATCCATCCCCATGCAATTGGAATGTGATCTCATAAACAAGAATAAATAGGTTATTTATGGTTGGGAAGGGGGGAGACTGGTATATCACTTTAGTTACCCGGTGTTCTCAGGAATAATTAGCAGCTTTAACCGTATTACTTCGATCTGCTGTGTGCCATAATTGCACTTGACAGTAATCATGATCGAATCACACAGAAATATTTGATTTCACCTTATCACAGGAATTAGAGCATTCTGAATAACAGCAACGCACATGTCTAATAATCTTAGGTATGAAGACTTTTAGTTTCACAGACAGACTCAATAATAGACGTGCTGTTGTTGTATAGTTGTGGCATTTGCGTTGTCCATAGCAGAGGACAAGAATAACCATGAGTCATCAATGTCTTGTTGATAGACCGAATTACTTCTCCGATAATCCTCTAGGTTTAGTCCTCGCAGTTAGCGGTTAAAAACAAATTTCGAATAATGGAAGAGTTTTTCAGGTTAAACACCTTAAAATCAACCACATAAATTCTTCAACGGGGCATGATTATTGTCCAGTTTGTGAGGTGATACAAGACTCAGACAGTATTATATCTGAGTGATGGGTTTCAGTCAGTTCCCTGAAGAAGGCTCAATAAATAATGCGTCTACCGCTGTTTCCCATTACGGATTATGCCAGCTTTCGTGCCATCCTTATCCGCAGCAGAATTTCATTCACTAATGCGACACCCAAAAGTCACAATACATTTCCTCCCCATGTAAACATAACTTACTATTCAATTTGACAGAATCATAAGAGGTGATGTTATTTCACCACTTACGGTGTCTACGCAGCCCAATTTTAACCCTTATGAAGACTTTACTTGTTGTATCACTAATCATTTTGAAAATTTAACTCAATGTGACTGATAATAGTGTTACAGCTGTTGTATGTGTCTAATGTATAACTCAATCTTGATAAGCACATCTGGAAATAATTTGGCATCTTCAGCTATTTGTGTTAACTGATAGCTGGCACAGTAGTTTTCTAAGCTTTCCTTCAACTTTTGTCCTATCTCATCTTTTTTGTGCTGTTCTGAATTTGTGAAACTAATACCATTCTTTTGAGTTTAAAACATTTATGTGCCGAAAATACAAGATGAACATTGAATTTGGAGATTGTTGTTCCGCACCCTAGAAGTTATGAAGGCTCACTTCAGCTACTGAACCAGTTAATCTGAACTGCCGCCTGACAAGCTATTGTCCTATAACATAATAGTATAGACGCCAAGCAAAGCATCTCTGAACAGGGACGTGATATTGATGCTAGGAAGAACACGTAAATGCATCTCTTCTGTATGAATCACTTGATCTGTTTTTATCTCACTAAAGGAGTGGAGTTGGGATGTTTTTATCCAAAAAGTAAGTCACAAGGAGTAGTAAATTAATAAAGACACAAAAGTACAGAAAAGCTAAAAAACTGGTACCATAATGAGTCTTTTCCTTTCAGACTTCAGCTTCACGAAAAAATTTTCGCCCGCTTCACATGAATGCATCATTTCAACATCACACCTACCTAAATTTTCGGCTGGACTTATATATCACATTCTGTTAAAATTTCCTTCGGAAATTTTTTTGTCAATAATTTTTAATAAAATTGTGTTATATATTATCTGGATTGATGGGAATTCCCATTTCCTGGCTAGTTATGGTGATGTCCGCGTCATGTAATCTGACTGCGACACACTCTTAGCATATTGGTTGCAATGATAAGTGTTCCAGGCGGACTGTGTCAAAATATCAGTATAATGAGGAAGATAGGATAGGTGGAGGGTAATGCCGTTTACACGAATCGTTTACTCCATGTAGAAGCTGCACCTTTCGTCATAGTATCATTCAATGAAGACTTCACGTCTCAGCCTATTTTCGTGTGAAGAACAGTCCTTTTTGACAAAAGAATGGCATCAGCACATGGAAATCACATTTAAATGCTAACAGAATCTTCTGTGCGAACCTAAGTTAAAATATAAATGTGCTTGTCACCTTATCTGTGGTTGGACAGGAATTATCATTAGTTGAAAGGTTATCTCTAAGTGGATTTAATAAATATTTACACTGATTGGTGCAGTGCAATATGGGTTATGTGAATTCAGTGCATAAAAATATCCCAACTTTATTAACATTGTGCTTTTATCTGCTTGGCCGGTCAGGAACACTGAGTTTGACCTTGCTAATGTTGAAGTGTCAATTGCTGGCGTACGCTCGGTTTTTGAAAGTGTTCGTTGCACAATGACTGTGGACTCAGAGGGTAATAAGATCGTGGTTTGTGACAATGGAACTGGGGTATGCGTGCTAATTCACCAATCAGTTAGTTTTTAGTTCGTCAAGTGTGGATACGCTGGGGCCACATTCCCTGAATACATTTTTCCGTCTCTAATTGGGAGGCCAATATTACGTGCCACATCCCGTGTTGGCAATTTGGAAGTTCAAGACCTTATGATAGGAGACGAAGCAAGCGAATTAAGACAGATGTTAGAGATAACATACCCTATGGAAAATGGGATTGTCAGAAACTGGGATGATATGATTCATCTGTATGACTATATATTTGGGCCAAAGAAAATGAACATTGATCCAAGGCATGCAAAAATCCTATTGACAGAACCTCCTTTCAATCCACTGCGCAACAGAGAAAAGATGGTTGAAGTTATGTTTGAGAAATATGGATTTAACGCTCTTTTTATTGCGATCCAAGCAACACTGACACTTTACGCCCAAGGTAATATGCTTTTATTACGTATATAATGAAGCTATTTTTTCATAAGTGAGATAGTATGGTTTGTTTTGATATAAAACGCCTGCAAAAATCAGACTGACTCTGCTATTCCACTGGTCACTCATTTTCATCTGAGTACTGCCCAAAAACTTCTGCATGGAAAATAAGCTTGACAAGTCTAATGTGCGGGTTAGTCATAGATCTTTTAACGTCGATCTAATCTGCAGTTACCTCCAATAAAAACAGCGCATGCATCTAATTGTTATGCTATTTCTGAGTGTAGGACATAGGTTATTTTGCCTAAAGAAATCCACGTTGAAGATCAGTTGAAAAAAACTGCTTCTAGAAGTCTGCGTGGCGACCTGTGAAAACGAAAAACAACAAGTGCTTAAAAGTAAACTCATTGAAAGTCCTTGTAGCAACAGTAAACATCGATGACGATGAAAGCTCATCACTCTCTCCCAGTATACCTTAGTGCCTACTGTATCATGTGATTCTAGCTTTAGAAGTTAATCAATGTATTTGTATCCCAGCTGTGTCAATTATGTAAACGTTAACGTTATATTGCCACTTATTGCATATGGGAGCCTACTTTATCGTAAGTACTCACATTCACTTAATATACAGTAGGTCATGTTTGGAGGAATTAGCACCTGAATATACTCAAAAGAATGTTCAGAATGTTAGTACCTCAGTTGGAGTTTATATTCAGGAAACTATTGCATTTGACTAATTATTCCAACTCATGTCATTTCACCAAACTTTTTGTGCTAACAACAGTGTAAATGATCATTAGATATTGCTTACCAGACGGCATTAGGTTCTCTAGATTTTCGTCTACGGTAGCAGATACCGAAAAACTATTCTTGAAAGACCTGAGGGTAATGTACAATCTGTCAATCATTAATTCATAATATTCTTTGTCATGTGGTTTCACTGCTCACTTACTGGCGTTCAATGTTCGCTATATTTCTTGACTTCAAGGCGGTATATGACTGCATCAACCGAGAGTCTCAGACAACTTCTGATCGTGAAAATGTATATCACTAATCAAGGCATTCTACTTGAACTTATGCAGCTCATGAAGAGTTGTCATCTGAAGTGATGACAATCAGCGATGTCTGATAAGGATGCCCATTGTCTCCACTTTTGTTTGATTTTATCTTAGATGTACTGATAAGTGTGAACCCAATCGGCTTGAGCAACTTCGATAATAACTTGTCACAAAGAAATGGTCTCGTCGATTTAGTGTGCGGATGATATTTCCCTTATAGGTGAAGACGCTGAAAAAAATGCAGAATCTTCTGAATATTTTGAGCAGAAATCTTAGTACGTTTGCCGTGTGATTCACTCCTGCCAATTGTAAAGTCCGCACTGACTCCTAGCTTAAAAGTAGGGAGTAAAGTGGTTCAGCGAATAAACCACTTCACTTATTTGGGGGAGTTGCATTAACCTCAATTGACTGATTGCTGACGAAATCTCAGCACAGATACAAAAAGGTCGTGTAACATCTGCCAACCCACGTCATCTTTGATGTAGACGTGATATTCGGTTGTTGATCAAAAGACAGGTGCTACGTTTCAGTTCCTCCCATCCTTCTTTAGGGCTCTGAGATGTGACAGTTGAAAATGGAGGACCTGAAGAGGCTAGCTGTGCTTGGCCATAAGAGTTTGTCTCCTATCTCGTGTTAAATAGTATAATATGATGAGCAATACTGAAGCCAGACTTAAAGTGTCAGGTAAGGAGGGAGAATCAATCGATCAGATTGTAAAGGTAAATCTATGGAAATGGCTAAGACACGCTTTGCGCATGCCAAGCCACCGTCTTTCTTGATGACCTAACATTGAATTAGGTTGTAAAAGAGTTAGGGGTGGTCAAGTCAAAAAATGATATCAACCCTTGAAGTGTTTGACTGTATATCTGACCCACGTTTGAAAGCTGTAGGCTTCCTGGTTAGGGTCCTAGGGATGCTAAGAACCAGTGGTTGGAGACTGTTGGCGATGTATCAAAATCGTTCTCAGCGTTGGAGATGTATCCACTTTTTGTGAAGTTCCAAATCCATCAAACCCATTATTCTCCATACAAATATTTTTCACCCGTAAATCTGTTTATTGTAGTTTCTACCGTTATGTACTTTATGAAGCATGGCACGTTGGGCTGCTGCACTTTTGTGCAACGTTCTGCGTTAAAAATTCAGTCACTGTTGTTACTGATACTTCTAGCAAAACTACTGAATTGTTTCGGTTGGTAGTATTTTTTTCACCTATGTCAACACTAAACAATCTATACTTTTCTCCATTTAAGGTCTCATGACTGGTGTTGTGGTCGATTCTGGCGATGGTGTCACTCACATATGCCCAGTTTACGAAGGGATGTCTCTGCCACATTTAACAAGGCGCCTGGACGTTGCCGGTCGGGACATCACGCGTTATCTTATTAAGGTAGATTCCATGAAATGAAATGTCTTATTATGCTTGTAAATGCTATATATATATATTTCCTAAAAATTGAACTGACGTCATGGTATTAATTTCTTTATTGTGGTTAGACGGGCACACCGCTTCAAATGTAGTACTTTAATAGAGGAATATAGTGTTAGTATAATCAAAGGATAGACATAATGGATTTACGCAAAGTAACGATAGCCATTTATCTCATCACCATAAACTTTGAGTCACTCAAGTATGCACCTTATAATTGTAATGTGAAAAATTAAAATTCTATTCTTAAATGAGTAATCCTTCTTAAAATATCACATATCGGAAATACATGCAGGCATTAACTCTGAAATATCAGTGAAATTGAATAAGATGTCAGCTAAGGTTTAGAACTTAGTAAACTTCCTTCAGTTGGTCTGAATCACTGATTTTCCTGATTGCAATAACCAGTTTTAATAATTAACGGCTTTTAAAGCTATCCGTTCCATCATACAGCATCTTACTTTGTGCAGCTGAAGGATGAAAAAAAAACTGCAAAAGAACAACAGATAAGGTTTTGTATTTGGTCATCGTTCAAATATTTGTTTTCTACTAATGGCAGGTGATTGGCACGATATCATGATGGTGACATAAAACTGTCTTTGAAGTATTATCACACTTTTTGGAGTAAGTCCTCGGACTCTAGCACAGACTTGTGTTTCCGCATCTAAAGCAAGTGCAAAGCACAAACTGCTGATATGTTTCGATTTTCATCTTTCTTGTAGGTACAACTTCCAAATTTACATTTGTGTAGTAAAGTATAAAGCATTTATGTTAGTGTGATAGAGATTCTCATCTCAGTACGATCAGCTAGCTTCATATACATTTTGCCTGTACGGGTAATAATAAAGACGGTAAATAATTAAAGTCAGCAAATATCCACAGTTTGGTTGATATCGTGACGAAAAGCTGTATAAGCTTAGAAAAAGACCGAATAACACTCTATAGTGACGGTAAACAGTGATGAGTGTAAGTAATATTAACGAGCAAACAGTTTATTTCAAATTTCCTAAGTCGTATACACATACGATCTGTGTATGTATGGTAACAAACATCTCCTTGCCTCTTTTACCATTCTGAATATTTCATTTAAAAATTTTGATCGTATGCCGACCAAGGAGCACTCGGGCTAATGATAGTAGACAATGAAGCTGGTGGCCAGCTGAACTGCTTCCCGAAGTGCTCTGCCCAGCGTTCCAGGCGTCTCTTCAGGCTGGTAATTGGAGTGCCATCTGCCTCACAGACCGTCTCGCTGACACCTTGTTTCTTGCTGCCGGTGGCTCGTATGAGGTGGAACAGCTTCCGACTGTTGCCAGATGCAGCAGCTGACTCCATCTCATACGCACGTTCTGACCACCAGGCTTCGCGGTCCTTACGTAAACACTGTCTAATCTTGCGCGTGAGCGCCTTTCGCTGATTGTTGTATTCACTGCCAGCCGGAATGGACCGGCGTTCATCCATGAGTTGCAAGGAACTCGCAGAAACCCAGTGGTTGTTAGCGGAGCATTCTTTCAAGCCGCAAGCGGCTACACTCACCTTTTGCATGGCACCTTGCACATGAAGCCAGTGTTCATCTATACTACTTGGGGGGTTGCTGGCAAGCATTGTTTTCAACTCGTTCTGATATTTCAAAGAAGTAGCAGGTGCTACTAGTTTGCTCACATCACCGCTTAGACGACGGTTTTTACGAACCCCACCAAATCGCAAGACGAACTTGGCACACACTAACGCATGATCGGAGTCCAGGCATGTGCTCCAGAAGGAGCGACAGTCTTGTATGCATCCTCGCCACCGGAAACTGACCGCAATATGATCAATCTGAGTCCAAGCTTGCTTCGCAGAGGGAGGACGCCAGGTAGCGCTACGGCGATGGCTGTGCCGGAAGTTGGTGCTGGCTAGAAATAGGTTGTGATCCGCGCAAAGCTGCAGAAGACGGTCCCCATTATCTGACCTGCGACCATGTAGTCCCCACTGACCACCTAGACGACTCTCCTCTGAGCTTAGACGCCCGACCTGTGCGTTCAAGTCCCCAGCTAGCACTACGATATCCCTCCGACCCGCCTGTTTCAACAGATCGCTCAGTTGGTAGTAAAACTCATCCTTCATTGCATCCGGGCTGCAATCCGTCGGTGCATAGGTAGAGACAACAAATAGACACCGCCTATCTGGCCTACTACTCCTTACTTTCGTATAACCTTCCAGCCTCACAGCACATAAACGACTGTTAATGGGAATCCAGTCGAGCAGTGCAGCTTCGGCTCTAGCGCTCAGTGCGACACCGACACCAGCTACGCCGGATGCTGATGCCACAGGGTCCCCGGATAAGCGCAGGTGGTACATACTACTAGAACTTCCAGATGGAGAGGACAGTCGAAGCACTTCACTGGGATCTTGAATGCGGGTCTCTGAAATGCAGCAGACATCGATAGCGAGGCTTTCCAAAGTTCTTGCCAACCCTGCCTGTTGTCCGATTTGCATCAGCGTCCGAACATTGTAGGCAGCCAGCTTGAACGCAGCACGCGGTTTCAGGATATCTGTGTTAGAAGTCACATTGGGGACAGCCATTTTGAGGACTACTCACTAACATCTCGAAACGACACAGATAGGCTAGGAATCCAAACAAAGGCGAAAGGCTGTCGAAGGTTAAGAAGTCAAGGTTAGGAAAGGTAAAATACAGGAAACTAAGTATAAAAATAAAAGTAAGGTTGGAAAGAGATATATCAACTGGGACATCATTACTGCTTGAGAGCATTGTTAAGAGTGCGCGATGAGTTTCACTGATAGTTCGTTGCTTCATTTAATTAATTGTGTCGGTTAGTACCGACCCACCCACCGAAGCGGAGGTCCGTAAGGAACTCCAAGTTCTGAAACGCCATAAGGCGCCCGGCCCAGACAAATTACCCCCGGCTCTTTTTAAAGATGGTGGCGAGACTCTCATAATGGCTCTAACTGGGTTGTTCAGGAGGGTGTGGGAGACAGAGAGCGTACCATCAATGTGGAACGAAGCCATTATCGTCCCCATCTTTAAAAAGGGTCGACGTAATTCCTGTGACAACCATAGGGGTATCAGTCTGTTACCAGTTGCGTCTAAAATATTGGCTGCTGTCATGCTTCGCAGACTGTGCAAAATACGCGAAGGATTGATTCGCGAAGAGCAGGCTGGGTTTCGTTCAGGTCGTGGATGCATTGATCATGTGTTCACCCTTCGTCAGTTGTTGGAACACCGCCACACGTATTGCAGGCCAACGATCGTTGTGTTTCTTGATATTAGGGCTGCCTTCGATTCGTTGGACAGAACTGTGCTCTGGAACTGTCTGTTAGAGAGAGGTGTACCTGAGAAATTTGTTAACATCTTGAAAGCCCTATACAGAAACACCTCAGGTAGAGTGAGGGCATACAACCAACTATCACCACTGTTCCCAACCAACAGTGGGGTTAGACAGGGTTGCCCAATCTCACCATTTCTCTTTAACTTTGCCATCGATGACATTCTGGAGTCAGCTCTGAAGGATGTGCGTGAAGGTGGTGTAGATCTGCTACCTGGAGATAAACTTTTCGACCTCGAGTATGCAGACGATATCGTCTTACTGTGCGATAGCATGCAGGCTGCCCAAATCGCACTCAATCAGTTGGCGATCAGTGTCTGTAAGTATGGTATGTGCTTTGCGCCGTCTAAGTGCAAAGTACTGTTACAAGATTGGCAGGAGCCTGTACCTGCACTCACTCTTGCGGGTGAACCGCTTGAAGTTGTCGATAAGTTTGTGTACCTAGGTAGTTGTGTGAGTGCTGGCGGAGGGGTGACGGATGAGATTTCCAACCGTATAATGAAAGCTAGGGTGGCATACATCAACTTGAGCCACCTCTGGCGCCGTCGCGACGTTAGCCTGGCTGTCAAAGGTCGGGTATACAATGCTTCGGTGCGGGCTGCGCTGCTCTACGCCTGTGAAACCTGGCCTCTCCGAGCTGAGGATGTGAGGCGACTCTGCGTGTTCGACCACCGCTGTCTCCGCAGGATTGCTTGCGTTCGATGGCATCATCGCGTGAGTAATTCTGAGGTTCGGCGGCGTGTGTTTGAACACAGTGGAGATCACCATTCATTGAATGTCGTCATCTGGAAACACCGGCTCCGGTGGCTTGGACATGTGCTGCGAATGTCACCCCAGAGGCTTCCGTACAGGTCTCTGTTCGCTAGCCCTGGGACGGGTTGGAAAAGGCGGAGAGGTGGTCAGCCCATGACGTGGCGTCGTGGGATGAAGGATATTTGTGCTAGATTAGCATCGGTTGGTGTGTCACGACTCCCTGGTTGGGGTCTGAGAGATAGCTCAAATCGATGGCTCGAAACGTTATCGGATATGGCCAAGAATCGTAATCAATGGCGAATGTGTTGCGGTTTCCTTCTTTCTTCCCTTCCTGATGATAGTTAACGAACACTGTTTGAACCTGTTAAGAATGAGTGTTTTCCTTCCAGATGAAGTTCATTATTCGTTCTCTACTTATATATATATTTTTCTTTTCCTGTCTTCCTTTTTTTCATCTATGTTGTTTTATTATTATTGTGTGGCGCATCCTTCTTGGTGCCATATTGTACCAAGTTTTAATGCGTTTAAATAAATAAATAAATAAATTTACCATTCTGAATATTTCATTTAAAAATTTTGATCGTATGCACTACACACTTTACACATCTCAATGTTTTTCTACCTTTTCCAAAAGCTTTTATTACTCCGTGGTTATGCCTTCAACCAAACAGCAGATTTCGAAACTATTCGCCAAATGAAGGAGAAGTTATGCTATGTAGCCTACGATTTAGAACAAGAGCAAAGTCTGGCTTTGGATACTACTGTCTTAGTGAAGAAATATACGGTCAGTCTAATGATGATGTAAATTTGTTTGTGGTATAATTATTATCTTTTTCATTTCTGAATGGTTGTACTGTGGCGTATCAGTAGTATATAAAGAGACATTCATCGGCATAAAAACATCAAATAGCAGGGAGATATATTTGGCGTCAAAGAAAGCGAGTGATACAGCATTGTGGAGATACATGGGAGACGTGAAAGGAACATAAAGAAACACATGAAGGAAGACCACAAGTAGCACAACATGGAAGATCTGTGCAAATGGTAATTTGAAGATAAGGTGTACATAGTTTGGCTACATAGAGATATCAAATACCAAATAAACATTCCTTTACCAAGTTTCTCGTCTTCTACCTTTACAATACTTATTTAACTTTTAGTCCGTTCGGAGTTGCTGAATGTATACTTGTAACTCAGTAAATATATTTGAATGGTGGATTAGTTTTGCCCTTTTCTTTAACTAAGTTGATTATTATTGGTGTAATTATCTCTTAATTAAGAGTTTGTAATAACTCACACAGCTCTCTTGTTTAGAAAAAAGATGTATCTATCCAAGCTGTCGTAAACGAGTGATTGAAGTAACTTATTCAAATACACAGATTCTGCTGTAAAGATTACATTCTATACCAGTATGGTTCCGAGTGTTGAAAATTTAAAGCCTGTATATTTCTGTCTAACCTTATAGGGAAAAAAGAAGAAAGACGATATCATATCCTTTTGTATTTTTCCTCTCGATTTAAATGTACACGTATTCACACATGCGTAGACAGGATTCATTAACTATTACACATAAGGGTCGTGGAGTATATTCTAAATTGGATTTCACTATCACTCGAGTTAAAAATGAATTATTCCGTAGACGTATTCACTTCTCAGACAAAGTCGTGTTACCCTATTAAATAAAACAGTGTATGTGAGGTGAGGGATTATAACTGTGTTCTGTATTCGGCCAGTAAAGAAGTCTATGTTATTTTTTAACTCTGTTAGTTCTGGCTAGAGTTACGATCACTTTATTTGTGGAAATGCTGTTGTTTTCACGAATTAGGCTATAAGCTGCATTCGTGTGAGGTCTGGTGGTACGGCCTAGTTGTTCAGGGTAAAGTAAGGTGAACGAGATTTAAACCCTTGACTCATTGGCAGAAAGTCGACTGTTTAAGCCAATCAGGAGGTGTTTTAACTAGAAACTTAATATCTAAGGCAATAAACCACCTCTCTAAAGTCTAAAATAAGGAATCTATGATATTCGTTGGTTTTTCACTAGTACGTTGATTGAAGTTGGTTAGTGATGAAGTTATCGGTATCAAATAACTTTGTATCTATTTGTTGATTTCTTCATGAACCGACTTCAGCTAACACTAAATAGTTACTATGTCTTATTTTGCAACCCCTTAACTATCGGCGATCATAATCGTGTAAGAAAGCGAACCTGTGGCTGTCAGGTTATAAGGAGAGTATATCACTATTCAATGACACATGATTTCCAACCACCCATACACAATAAATAAAGTGCAACTATCATTCATTGTTGTCTGTGAATATTTGTTCCCGAATCAGACATGGTGTTTTTTCAATGTTTTCGCCACAGCCTTGAAAAATAGATAAAGCTCTCACAAACCCCAATGGTTCAACATTAATTAATATAATTTTCTATATTCTATAATTTAATGAAAAGCGTAATTGTACTTATAATAGCGTAGGTATGTTTTTACCTGCATCACAAATTCAGATAATTTATTATTGTCATTGCGATAACTAGGTATCCTGTCTTTGTGTGTTTTTGTGTTAGGTATGCATCTAATTTATGTACATTCAATAATTATGTCGATCGATTATTCACCTTGACCGTTATTTGAATGTGCTTATATGTTTATCATTTCTCGTTTACTGCTTATTTGTTTAATTGTAAGAAAATGTTGATTGGTCGATGATTCACTTCTGCAGTATAGAAGTTATAAGATTCATTGTTAAATTCTACCTATTCATAGAATTTATTCATGAAGACATGCAATATATATATATATTCATCACTTACCTTTTATAATGTTTTGAATCTCCTCATTCTTTGCACTGTCTCCACTGCATGTAAGAAATATTCCTAAAAGTAACAGAAACAAAATAACTTTGACCTTATCGAACCGTTAATCTTTGAATACCCATGTTCTACTTCAGCACGTTTCAACTTTAAGTACTACCGTACAGTACATTTAGTAGATATATGAGCATTTCATTAGCATCAACTAGTTAGTGGATGGTAGGCAACAGAACTGGCTATCTTTAGGATCTGGTTGAAATCCATTAACTAGATATGTAGTTTGGTTATTCAGCTAAATGATGTACCGCGGCGCATTTTGATTTGAGATGTTAACAGTTCATCAATGGGGAACGCTTTTTGACCTAAGTTTCCGTCTTATCACTATCCATTAGCAAGACATATCAGTAAACTGGAGGACGATTGCGTCGCGTCTGAGATGTGAGCCATTCTGCATTGTCCATGTATCTAAGTGACCATATTGCACACTTAATGATATACTTAGACCGTCACTCAAAATGAACTAAATACACTGGCTGTAAATCCCACAGTAAATTTGTGCACGTGCAGTCCTCCTGAAAATCAGTTGGGTGACCCAAAAGTTAAGAGACAAAGTTTACTTTGGAGTCATTAGAAATACTTATTTGCTTAAAGTCGCAAAACAACTCACTAATGAATGCCAAAAAATAAGAGACCTAAGTTTACGAGGATTTTCTAGTCATTGACTTTCAAGGTAACTATACAGACGTTCCGCTGGCTATTAAATAATCAGATGTTGTAGAACTTCTACGTTAACTGAGGTAACCAGTGCACTGCGTCACTGCAAACACCGATATACACCAATTTCTACTCTGAGATTAGGTGAGTGTAACAATTAAAAGTGTAGTGGTTTCACGCCGTTTGCTCAAATTATTTTCTTCAGTGTTACCATCGGACACTTTCGTTCTTTGTGTAATTAGTGTAATTGTTCTAAAGATTCCAGGTTAGCAGATCCACCAGCGTGAAATCAGGAGAGTATAGGTAAAAAGCCTAGAGGAAAAAGAGAAAATGAGTGTTTCTAGGAGTAGGATAACAGAATGCTTAGCACCACTGAGTAGGTTTGGGTTCTATTCCCTGCCGAAGGGACTCCTAACCCTCGTCTAGTCTACTTGTCGATAGTAAGTCTGGTAAAGAGGGAATGTTTAGCGTGAGGTTAGCAACCCTACCCCATAAAACTGTTGAAGGACGATGTAAGTATAAAACTTGGCCACTGTGGTAGAGCATAACTCCATTATGGATAAGATTTTATTTTGATAAATCACACAGTGTTGTACAGTAATATTAACTAATGACGTTTAGAGCACAAACTATTGCTCATAATCATATCAAGTTACTCACACAACTTCTTTCCTTCATTTATATACATGTGTGGAATCGATTAGATATTGGAATAAAATTCAATATGAGATATTGTACATTCAGAAATAATAATAATACGAGTGTTATTAGTCAATTACAATTAGATGGGAAATAAGACGAGTGTTTTTATAGTCAAAATAAGTTACTTGTTAGAATGTTGTGATGTGTTTGAATTGAAATAGAATTTTGAGATTATTTATTATTCTCTTCTGCCTTGACTGGTGGTAATATCTTCTGTACATATTTCTGGTATTTGCATTGAGTCATTTCTGTTGCATGTGTTGGGTGTAAACCCGATGAACCAGGACTCAGTAATCAACCTTTCTCTCCACCTACCTATGTTACTCTTTAGAATTTTAACCCTCTCCCACTCTATTGTGTGGTTGTTTGTTAATGCGTGAAGTGCAATTTCTGAGCTCTTTTCTAAATTACTTATCCCTTCGGGGTCGACCATTCTTCCCTTAGCTAAATTCTTATGTTCCGATACTCTGATTACCCCCGACCTACTAGTTTGACCTATGTAGTTGACCTTATAGTCATTGCAAGGTATTCTGTAAGCTATATTATTTTGTCTAATTGGGTCCACCGACTCCTTTAGCCTACAGAGCTTGTCCCTGCCTGAGTGAGTTTGTAGGTGTGAATGCCACCCTAATTCCTGCTTTATTAAGAATCCTACGTAGGGCCTCAGATGTCCCCTCCTTATATGGTATTACAGTGGATGACTTATATTCTCTCTTATTTATGTTATCATTGCTAGTTCCACAATTATTTTTATTTTGTTTTTGGCCTTTACTGATCTTCCTAATGAATTTTATAGGATAGTTATTCAACACCAACGCTTCTTCTATCTGTTTTATTTCGTCATTTAGGTCTTTTCTTGTGCTACTTAGTGCTATGGCTCGGTTTGTTAGACACTTAACTAAGCCTACCTTAACAGTTAACGGATGAGATGAATTGAAATCTAAATATCTATACGAATGCGTTGGTTTTCTATGAACACTGGTGTGTAGTTTTCCTTCTTCTATTCGTTTTATTTTACAATCTAACATAGCTAGTTCTCCTTGTTCATCTTCCGATTCAAATGTGAATTTTATTCCCCTTACTAGTGGCCTAGAGTTTGAACGATTTCTAATGTGACATAATATTAGAGCTATGTGTTTTGATAATTCATAAGTAGGGGTATTCCTAAAATCTACTATTGGTCGTATGGGATAAGCTGGCTTATGTATTTTAATAGTACCATACATTCTACTATAATTATATCAATAATGCATTTGGTTAACTCATTTCTAACTGACTTCCTATTTACGATTTTTACCAACTGTTTGCTTTGTTTTACGTTTAGTCACATAATTACTACTACTTTCAATGTGATCCTAATGAGTTGAGCACGAAATTTTTAAGTTTCTTCCGATCCATGTGTTTGCTTTCATTTCTTTCTGTTGCTTTTATGTTTTGTTGATAATCTACAGCTACCTGATGGTCGTGTTATCAAAATAGGCGGAGAATTGTTTGGTGCACCAGAAGCTCTTTTCCAACCACATTTAATCGATCGTGAAGGTGATGGCATAGCAGAATTATTGTTTAATACGATTCAAGCTGCGGATATTGATACAAGACCGGCATTTTACAAGCACATTGTATTAAGCGGTGGAAGTACAATGTATCCTGGTTTACCTAGTCGTTTAGAACGTGAAATTAAACAATTATATCTACAAAATGTACTTAGAGGAGATACAGAAAGATTTTCAGTAAGTCTGTGTTTCATTTTTATTACTCAGACCGAGTGACTAATTTCGAACAGAAGTGCTTCAGTTCAAGTTGCCAAACGTCATATAGCACATAAAAGTAGAGAGGAGAAAAAAGTCTCCCAAAGAATCGTAACGAGCAGAAATGTACGGAAGAAATAATATTTACAGAGTAAAAAAGTGAAGACTTGATTGTTCTGGGAGATTAGAAAGATTGAGTGCATCTGCACCACAGAATGATTTTGAGCCAGCTATTATTTCTTAGCACTTCGACGTCCTGACCAGTTAGTCAACATCTCTCCCTATGTGGCTCCAACCAACATTCCAAGTCTTCACGGATTGTTGCCATGTTTTGATTTGACCAACCCCAACTCTTTCCCAGCTTCCTCCTATGTCAGCTAATATCGCCCAACGAGGAATGGCAAGCGTAAGACTTATCCTAGCCGTCTCAATCGATACAGCTTCACGTTTCATCGGTTGACTATCTTTCCTTACCTAACAATACGCCTAATCACATTATTAATGACCATACTTTACGGACAACCGAATTCAGTGGTATTCTGTTTAAAACTGATCACGTAAATGCGCTTGCATTGAATGGTCTTTTATACCTTGTTCAAATCCTACTTATTTTGTTACTAAGTAAGCAGTAGGAGTACAGGCACACACGTGTGTAAGCATTTGCTATTCCTGTGCCTTACTATTATAGCCTTAAGTTTCTCACTAATTATTAACTGCAATTCGACTGATTTTAAGGTAAACTTTGTTAGAAACTGCAGCATACATGTGTACTGTGAAAAACAACTGAAGAGCACTTGACAGTTGTTTCATCCCGATTTAAAACTTCTCCACATTGTACACCTATATGACCTCGTTCATGTTGGCGATGATGATAGTTTTTGCAAGGAACTGGTTAACAGTCAATTATTGATTCTATACTCCAGAGTTACATCTTTTCCAAATTTTCCTACGAATTTACGACACAATTCGGTCGTTACTGTATGTAGTTAATGAGTGGTGGATGTGCCGTCAAAACACAAACGGCTTATTATTTAATTAAAATATGCCGTTGGTTACAGTGTTCTAATGTGTGTCCAAAACGATGAGCAAAAAGTTATCTGGTGCTGTAATTGATGTTGGCTTGTAAGAATGTTCATCTTAGGAATAAAAAGGGTGTGTTTTGGGGTGAGAGGCTAAGTTCACTGTTTTGCAGCTGCAAAACAATCATAAAAGTAAACAAAGTATTAAGATATTACAACTGTCTGACTGTTACTTAATTTGTCATCAAAAATATCATGGGACAAGACAGCTAAATGCATATTTTGAAGTTTATATTTAAAGTTGTGAAGATACAGTCTAATCTGGTTATTTGGGAAACTATCACTGTAAAACTTAGTGAACATGTATCACTGTGTACTTGGAAGTAACTCTGATTTAGATTTTTGAGTTTTTAATTAAATACATATATGGAGAGACGTGACGACGTGATATGAATAATCCCTCAGTTTGTTTTATGTGAACTTCCAGTTATACTATTCACTGTTCTCCACCGATAAAGTTATTCGCTCTAACGATTTTTTTCCCCAGAAATTCAAAATCTGTATAGAAGCTCCACCGCAAAGAAAGCATATGGTATTTATTGGTGGATCAGTTCTGGCTAGTATTATGATGAAAGAAAACGCCTGTACAACATGGTTAACTCGTGCTGAATATGAAGAAAAAGGATTAAAGATTTTGGAGAGATTAAATTTCTACAAATAGAAGACAGATACCCAAACTATCTCAACTACTCACTATCTATCAGGCGTTATCAGTCAGCACCAAAAATGATCACATTTTTTTTGCTCTATAATTCACCTATATTATACCACTCAAGAAGGCTGATTGACATTGTTTGCTGTCGTTATACAATCGTGATTATGGAGGTTACTTTGAAGTCTCTAATTAACAGAGTAGTTGTTATTGAATACAACTTTTTAAGTTGTTTTGTTTTTGTATTACCACCTAATATTTTGTTCTTTATTCTGTTTTCTTTTTTTAACTCAATATTTTGCTTGATTATGTATGTAATTATTTCCTAACATCCACCCACACTCTTGCCTTATCATGTGGTGCAGGAGTAAGCGGTCTTTTGTTTTTAATAAACAATCAAACTGTACTACTAATAATACACATGTTCAGGTAGATGGGTCATCATGAATAAATACCAAGAGGAAATAAAGAAGAAGAAGAACAAGGATTAAACTGCATAATTTTATTTCCTAATGCTTTCATTATTTTTTATCATAATTACAGAATAAAACAAAAAGGATTGTGAACAAATAGGATCTTTTTTAAAATGTTTCACAATGAAATAATAGAAAAAACAATTTGTAATAACACTTATGTAACCAATCTGTCTTTTGTTCTCGCTTTTTTTCTCATTTTTATACTTCAGATATTTTTGTTTCAATGACTTTATTGTCTTCCATGTATGTGTGAGAGTTTGCGTGTACTGTTGCTTTCTTTGTATGATGTATGTTGAATCTCAGTGCTTTGTTTGATGAGAGTTTTCTCTAGATAAATAATGCTTATATGGTGTAGAATTCAAGTATACAGTAGCATAATTGACAGTTTCATCTACCTTTTTCTTTAATAAATGGGTATATGCTTTATAAATCTGACGATGAAGTGTCATCTAACATTCGACAGATGTGCTCGTAAATAAAACAAACTCGCAGTTCTACGTGTTTTGTTTTTTCAGTAATCCCACACATATTGGCTCTACCAATACGTTTTACGACATGATATTTGTGTTTCATGTGTTATGAGCTTACACACCCATTTTTCCATTCTTTGTATTCCAAGTGTAATTTAGGGCTACACAACCTTCGAATTCTCAGTCCAGATGGAGTCTTTCTTTACGGTGTGGAGTTACTAGCCTCACATCCAGCCTTCCCTCTTTTTCCGGGCTTACTATCGGCTGGTAAATTAGACAGGGTTTTGGAGTGTGTCGGCTGGGAATGGAATGTGGACCAATTGAGTCGATGGCGAGCATTCTACCACTGATGCATGGCTCATAACCTGATGTACATTAAAACCCTCTTTTGGGTAACTGAGTCCTAACTCACTTGTGAAGGACTAATAAGAACTATTTAGCAGATTTTTTATACTAATTCGAAAGTAATAATTTTATCCAGACAATAAATTCATTATTTGTTCTAAAGGTTTGTTTGAATATCCACTGATATTCTGTTATTGTATATAATCGTGTTTGTTTTTGTCGTTCAAATAGCCTTCATCATATTGATAAGTGCTGTCAATAAATTAGAGTTAGGATATTTGTCTATTGTGTGCAGAAAAGGTGAAAAACGCTACCATCATTTATAACAGTCAGTTTATAAAATGAAATCATAAAAACGAGTGTCATAGGATAAAGTGAAATTCTGCGAGATTTTTGTGAAAGTTTTATATTATTTCACATGTTTTTCATTGTTTTAATGGAAATATATTGAGTGAGAAAGAAAAAGAGCATCAGTGTTGCCTGACCGTGGAGCCCTGTCATATAGCTTCTTTGGAATAGTGTCCGTGCAAAGACCTCACCGCAGGGTAATCAAGGTGTATAGTCTTTGGAGTCGACCTGTTATCCTCCCAACCATACTTTCCAGTAGCCTGACTTCGTCCTCACACCTGCAACGTTTTGTGAACAAATTACACAATGAGGGTTTTAGTTTAATTCAACCGCCGTCCAGACAACTATTCTGGCATAGCAGGAGTTGCAGGAACATTCGTTACACTTGTGGCGCTCATCGTGTCTGTGACTGGCATTTTGTGACAAAACCAAACACATTTACTGAGGTCTTATCGATATTTCGAGGCTAGATCACACGGCTCAAAATCAACAGCCACCAAAAACACTTGAAACATAAGCTTAAGAAAAATATGATTAGCTTTAATCACACAAACTCAATGGGTCATCAGAAGCTGAAATGTGCATCCTGTATACTTCAGTGCGACTAAAATGTCTAAAGAATCCATAATTTTGGAAATATGACAATATTTCCAATGAGCTTTCGGAAATTAAACAGTCGAAATGTCTTTCGCATTCAGTCTAATAATCTTTCATATGCAAGAAGGCTATCAGTGATTCATTGGCTTTCTATCCACTCGACGTCTAGGAAATGCTTTATCAATGTTATACAGTGTATGATTATTCATCTCCAGCAAAGATAAATACAGAGGAAAGGAAACGACTAGAGACTGTATAAATTAACTTGCATTACAAAACCACTTTGAACTGCTTATTTACTGTGGTGCACAAACTATTCAGTATACATTAGGAAATTCGTATATTCCTTAGTTTCCTGGACCTCAATCTTTTCGAACTTTGTAAATATGCTTGTTCACTTTTAGTCTCTCTAAGAGTAGCGTATACTTATGGCACTGACATGAACATAGTGCAAAAGTGAAGATCAATTCATGGTGAAACTGTTAGATTTTCAATTTTGGATATTTTACTACTTATAAGTAGACAAACTATTTGTCTTATAAAAGGTGAAATATGTCAACTTGAGAAGAGCTTGTTGGTGAAACCAACCACCTAAGTTTTTTGTGTACTTGTTGTTGCTTATCCGTAAAGTGCATACACAACATAGACTCAATTAATAACTTCTCACAGATTTAAGTGTACATCCTTCAATTTCAGATATAAAATATTTCCCGACTGACCTTATTTGCCAGACTCATTGAAGAATAATAGAGATGTTAGCTAATTGCCTGGAGCACTCGACTTTCATCCAATGGGTACGGTTTCCGAATCTCGCACCACCACCCTCTTCTTGGTTTACTGGGTAGTATCATCAGACCTCGTACAATAAATGTATCTCATAGCCCAGCATTATTAGTTAGCTGAGTTCTTCTACCCCATCCCCAATAGAAGAATACTTAGTTTTATGTTGTCCAGTCTTCTTTGTGTTCACCAAATTATACTGACCAAGTTCCCAATATTTGCCGAATTTCGCCTTTTACATCAGTACTCATGACTGACCAGAATGAAAGTCAATATAAGTCACATTCACGTCTATTCGCATAACATGTCACATCACAACGTCAGACATGCATAAAGAGTGTGTAATAGTACGAGTACAATCTACTAACACAAAAATATCTCAGATAGCCTCATCCGTAATAACAGTGACAAACACAATGAAGAAGAAATGTACATTGTTTCTTTTTCTGTTAAATCTGAAAAAATACTAATCATTCATATGCAAAGTAAATGCAAGTATAGAAGAAATAGGAAAAACAAAATCTATCTGATCACAGTCAGTGAATAAATTCTTCCTGAGAAATGCTGCTTGTCAAATGCATAAAAGACAAAAAGACAACGTTTATCAGAGAAAAGAATAATAGTATAAAAAGTTCTACAAATAAAGTCAAAAATGACAGAAAAATCCAAGAGGTAATCTCAAAGTCTTAGAGTTCAACATCTTCTTTAAAACGCTCTCTATTAAGCTCAAAGAATTTTTTAGCATTGGCTAAGGCTTCAGACAAATTCAAGTATTTATTCTGATTTGATAACGATGAAGTTGTTGAGTTTTTACTATCATCTGTTCGTCGAATAACACCTTGTTGAACCCATTTAGGTAACTGTGATTGAACCGTTGGACGATAATATCTACTGTCTAATAAAAAGACAACAGCATAGTCTTTAGCATGTCGTACAGAACGACCGATAGCCTGGTTTATTGAACGCATACACATTGCCTCGTAATAACGTCGACCTGGATTTTGAATCGGTTGTTGTAGAATACCAGACGACGGTTTATCGGAGAAATGGCGATCTAAATAAGCCATTTTTTCTCGTAACTAAAAACAGATTTTTGAAAGAAATTTGATTTTACTGGGAAACAGCGTAAAATGAGTTAGAAATGTAAATATGTACTGTAACTGGAAGGTCCCGAGTTCAAACGTATGGGGGTTAGTATGCTGAAGGGTATCGAACTACGACGAAACGACTGTTCAGTACATCCAGGTTTTAGAATGGTTCTCTAACTGAAGTCATCTCGTGATCAAACTTGAAATAGATCAAATCCCTACAAACTAATTCCTGGAAACAATTAATTCTTTTGTTTGAATTGTCCTCACCTATTTGTATCCAATAAACAAAGTATTCATTTTTAAAAGACTATTTATTTATTTATTAAACGGAATTAATGTATGTAAATATATAAACAAGCTTCCTTCCAGTAAGACAGATACTATTATTCAGTTAGTATGACGAATACACACACACACACTTAAGGTTCCGCATCTACTTAAAACGCCTTTTTTGTTGTTGTAAACAATGGCTATTTAAAATATAAGCGGAATTTCAAATACATCTTAGTAGTCAGTCAAACATAAACATTTATTTATATAATGGGATTTGTGGAGATTGGATTAATTTCAGTTGTTAGATTTTGTCCATTAATTTCAAATTTTCAATTTGCAAATTAGTTCGCAATTTACACAGAGGGGGGTGGTAATTCCAGAAAAAGACCTGGCGGCCAGCTTGAGTCACTGGGCCACCTGAATTTCAATCCAAGATGATGCATCTTATTTTCTTTAGTTGTCGTTGTTATAATCATTCAGTTATGTCCGTGGTTCGCCAAATGTACTCATACACATTTTTAATTGGTTCGCAACCTACTGTTGCTCAAATTCTGGGGGACCGAAGAAAAATACCACAAAGGATCATTTTATTTTTCAGATATAACATTACTGTGTCACGTGATTTACTGGAGATGGCTGTTTTACTTGAAACTCCTGTGTGAAGAGAAAGTATTATGTCATATACTACGCTGAAAATTATGCACATTGTGTAAACTTATTGTGCATAATAAGGCTGTTGTTATTAGTATTTGCTTTGAAAATCGAGATTCTTCAGATCACAACATGTGATCCTCCGCATAAATACGAAGTCCTATATACTACTGATTGATTTACATGTATGGTTGTATACCACTCATATTAACCAATAGTACTTACTAACCAGATCGAAGTGATTTAAACACCACACGGGTGTTTCACTCATTTGGCGCCAAGCTCATCAGTGGTGTGCCAGGTTTGACTCGGCTCACAGAGCCGAATCAGTTCAAATCACCTTATTTCTGACTAGCTATTTGGGCAAACTAGCAAATCTCAATTCGCAAATTAGTTAACAATTTACACAGTTTGTACTTAGAATTCATGGGTTATAAATTCCAGTTCAACTGGCTGAATGATCAACGACCTTGGTCGCGTAACCTGAAGGTCCCAGGTTAGATCCCTTATGGGGTTGCGGGTGCACACTGTGAAGAGTCTCAAAAGAGGATGAAAGAGCTCTTCAGTGCTCCCTGGTTTTTACTGTTGGTTTATGACGAAATCTAACAATTGAAAATAAAACTTTACATTTGATATAAGTATAAAACTTGGCCACTGTGGTAGAGTATAACTCCATTATGGATAAGATTTTATTTTGATAAATCACACAGTGTTGTACAGTAATATTAACTAATGACGTTTCGAGCACAAAATATTGCTCATAATCATATCAAGTTACTCACACAACTTCTTTCCTTCATTTATATACATGTGTGGAATCGATTAGATATTGGAATAAAATTCAATATGAGATATTGTACATTCAGAAATAATAATACGAGTGTTATTGATCAATTACAATTAGATGGGAAATAAGACGAGTGTTTTTATAGTCGTAATAAGTTACTTGTTAGAATGTTGTGATGTGTTTGAATTGAAATAGAATTTTGAGATTATTTATTATCCTCTTCTGCCTTGACTGGTGGTAATATCTTCTGTACATATTTCTGGTATTTGCATTGAGTCATTTCTGTTGCATGTGTTGGGTGTAAACCCGATGAACCAGGACTCAGTAATCAACCTCTCTCTCCACCTACCTATGTTACTCTTTAGAATTTTAACCCTCTCCCACTCTATTGTGTGGTTGTTTGTTAATGCGTGAAGTGCGATTGCTGAGCTCTTTTCTAAATTACTTATCCCTTCGGGGTCGACCATTCTTCCCTTAGCTAAATTCTTATGTTCTGATAATCTGACTACCCCCGACCTAATAGTTTGACCTATGTAGTTGACCTTATAGTCACCGCAAGGTATTCTGTAAGCTATATTATTTTATTTAATTAGGTCCACCGGGTCTTTTAGCCTACAGAGGATAGTGGATACACACCGGGGGAAAGTTGAGTGATATCACGCGTCAAGCCGGAGCTCAGGTGGAACCCGAATGTGAAACGAAGAGTTGTCATTTATCTGGAGGCGACTTGGAGGGGATCATGTGAGAAAGAAATGAAAACTTATGGTCAATCTTGGGGCCAGCTAAAGGAGACTATCGCAGAAAACAGGGTGAAATGAAGGTGTGCTGTTGAAGTGCCATGTTCTACTCAGAACTGAAGAGCAAAATCATAATAATATAATCAGCTAAAAAATCTCTGGTGAAGTTATTCGTAGCACGATATCACCATTTTTCAATCTACTCTCTCTACTAATTACTGTTGGGGGCTACGTTAATATTTTCACAAGAAATGCAATCAAACCATCAACATCCCAACCAGGATGAAACGGATAGAGGATTCATTTGGTTTTCATTTAATAGAACAATGAAATCGTCCTAGTAATGGAAACTACAATTCATTTTGTTTTTATACTAATTCATGTAAGAACAAGATAGAAATTTAGCATAATTACACTTTTAATGATTATTTACATACTATAAGATGATAAACCTCTTAATTTCAGTAATATTTCAGGTAAAGTCATGGCCCGTGATCACACCAATTGCTGGGATGTTTTATCAAATATCTGCTGTATGAGTTGATCACTTACACCGTCCTCCATTTTCTGATTGGTTCAGTCTTCAGAGCTTCCTAGCTGTATGGTGTTAGCAGTAGAGTAAGCCCATTTTTCGTCTCAGCCTATTTGATGGTGAGATCTCATACTATAAACATGGGCTTCAGACTATTTAGATGTTAGTATATGTAGCTGTTTGTGTATCTACCCTCAACCACAGCAACTGCAAACGCGTGGATAGGAAAATAATGACTAAGTAATAAATTTTTGATTGAGACAGGACCAGATCAAAATACAGACCTGCGTAGGTGTTTCAGTTGTGATACAGAACTTAGTCATTTAAGTGGTTTGACGTTAGAATATAGAAAAGATCTAAGTCCAAGGTCGACAGACGAACATTCACATTGTAATAGCATTTAGTGATGTTCTGAGGGGGCGGAGATGATGTTTGAAAGCCTGACTGACAAAAGTCAGAGAGAGATATACAAAACAATATCGTTTTGTTTTTCATTCATTGGGAAATACAAAAACCTTTATTATAATGAATATCATATACCCAATGCCCAAATTTTTTCAAACTGTTAAAAGTAAACTTGGTTTGGACATATATAGATATATACAAATGTTAAACGACACTATCTAGTGACAATATTGAGCAGAAAAATGTAATTATTTATTCTTTGTAAATAATTATCAGTTCTGCACCAGTTGCTCAGTGAGAAATTTTTCCGCTCATTGGGACCAGCAACGGGATCACTGAGTCAGCCACTAATTACTGAGGTGGCGTTTGCTGAACTCTGACACCCTTTATTTTACAATACTTAAGGGGGGACTTTTTAACAAGGCACCTTCTCCCAACGTAAAGCTCACAATTTGCTCACTACGTTAAGCATGCCAGCTAAATAAATAAACCTGGTAATTATTAACTCAATAGAGAAAGTCTTTATTACTTCAAGTAAATCAATAAACTTACTATCGGTGATTGAGGATTTGCATACGGCATACCAATAATGACTACCACTCGAGCCAAGTCATCGGTGAAATTTATCCCTTCACTCAATTTCCCTCCGATTACACATAACAAAAGAGCTCCTTGTCTATGCTGAAGTTTTTGTTTAGCTGCTACACCATATGCTTGCATGATCTACAAAGTTCAAAAAAGATTTCCGAAATTAAACTTTTAACAGTCACGAACGCATATATATACTATATTATACAAGCGTCAACGATTAAATGGCGCAATACTCGCCAACTAAGCAAGAGGTCTGGGTTCGATTCTCCGTCGATGCACTCCGAAAATACAAAATAAAAAAAAAATATAGTAAAAAAAAAAAAAACTAATATTATAAAAACTTTTTTTTATATCATCAGTGACTACTCTTCAGGTTTATTGGCAGGATAATTTTTCTCAAAAATTTTGATTACGCCTTACTCGAAGTTACTCAAACCTTAATCTCTTCTTTCCAGGTAAAGAATGCAGTAGCTAGTCATCTAACTATTTTAATAAGTTTGTTCAAGTTCACAGGATAGGGAGAAATCATTGAAAATCTTGAAACTTGAAGAATGATTTCAAAACCAAATGAAAGTATCTGTAATAATGTCTCATTCAATTTTTGTGACGAACAAATGAGTTGAAAGAATTGAATAACATATACAAAGATATATACTATTTTGAATGTATAAACCTTCGAAAAATGATAACATCTATACATATAGAAAAAATTCAGCTAACCTGATCTAAATTTGCAGTTGATTTTGGTTCATGAAATAAACTTTTATACTTTGTTAGCTTGTTTAATAAACCTGTAGTCTCCCAATGTTGATATAAAATTGACTGATACTCATAGGAAGGAGTAAAGACAACAATCCCGGCTGGACAGATAGACAGATAACAAGAAAGGAAAACAACATAAACAAAATAAAATGAGAATAAAGTAACATTATAAAAGATGAAAGGATTTTGAAATAAAGAGAAGATTTGTAGCTCAGAGAACACTTTTTTTTTGATGTGGTTGTGTTCTCTGAGCTGGATAGTTAATTTGCGAAGCTTTCATCACCCTACTAGGTGACATCTTCAGAGCATACTTCAATTTGATGAAAGGATTAAATTCCTTCAAAATTTCCATTTTAACGACAAAGTGGATATTTATGTGCGCTAATGATAGTGTTGACTGCCCGCCAATTCGTGGTTTGCAATCGGTTGTCTAAATCCATTCAATAATGAATAAAACCGGAAGAGAATAAGTAAGTTAACCAGTTGATGACTAAGACGAAATGCTAGATCATTGCTAGTTCCATTGTAATATAGTTAACAAGTATAACAGTTAGTGATACAGATACTGGAATTTCAATGCATAAACACTATTGCGTAAATTGTCTGGTGAACACATTCACTTAAAGGCTACTAGATATCTTAGATGATGGAATCAATCCGGGTCTATCCTTCCAGTGAGAAGTTTAAAGATTATTGACTAGAGGATTTAAAAATAAACAACATTATCAAGGAAAGACACACTGACAAGTCAAATAACATGAAGAAATCTCTGAAAATTTGTCTATTAGTATTTGAGTAGAATTATAACATCGAATAATTGTTGTAAACAAGCTGATCCTTGGTGATCAGCAGCAGTTCAAGTTGCTAAATTTCATGTATCCCAGAGAAGTAGACAAAAGCGGAAAACAGATATTCGAAAGAACTAAAATAATCAGGAAACCATGGTGGTTTAGTGGATATGGGAAGGCGTCTGCGTCATTTGAGAACGATTTTGATCCACATCACTAGTAGTCTCCAACCATTCATTCTTAGCATCTCTAAGACTGTAACCAGGCAACCTAAACCTCTCTACTTGGTTCAGATCAACTGTCAAAGACTTCATGGATTCATACCTAATCCTATGTCGGCTAACATTGTTAGCCAAGGAAGACAATGTCTCAGTATGCACAAATTATGTTTTCACACAATACAGAATTCTCAGCGTAACTTCTTGCCAAATATTTACTCCCCGTATCTTCAAGTAAATATCCATTGACAGTATACTGTATGACGCAACATGGTTTTATCTAAAACAAGACTCAATCCTTTATGATATTTCTCGTTCATTTTTTTCCTGAAGTACACAACTGTAGGCTGGAAGCCGATTAAAAATTTGCATGAGTTCACGTTGTGATCCAAAGATATAGTGGTGAAATCAAAGTAACAGGAGATGGATTACGCTGGATGGAAATTTACGTAGCCTAGTAGTTTAAGCAGACCACTGATAAGGCTATCTAAGATACACTTACTAATAACTTTAGCCTGACTTCATACGACCCTAAATAACTACTATTTGTTAAAATTCTCAGTTATATCCTAATGACTGGTTGACCTTCAGACAGTGTATTCAATATGTGAATATGGTCCACCGAGGGAGAGGGCTGTCAAGTGGTTGCACCATAGGATGATCCTGCATGCCGGTCTCGTCTCGCAAGAGGCAGGGATGGGTGTGTTCGGTTCTCCTGAAAATCAATACCCAGCCAATGCGTGTGTCATTGTGTGAATATGTGAACACATTGTACAACCAAGTGAAGCTATTCAAAACGACTGCAGTCAATTAATGAAAGCACCACAAAACAAAGATTGTGAAAGAATTTTGTCACCAATTTCTGTATGTCACACGATCATTATTAGAAAGATAAAGAAAAAAAAATTTTTTTCACAATAGTATTGATCATCATAACAACCAATTGTTAGAAGAATCAACAATAGCTGTTTTATCACTTATTTTGGTGTAAATTAGTCAATAATCTGAGCAGTCGAGTTAATCAATGGCAAATACATACGCATACATAAAGACACACAAACAAGTGTGTAGATGCCAACTTCACTTACACTGAGGTATACATTCTGTAGACATTTTTGTGATAACGAAGAAATTCTTCAATTAGCATGGATATGTTAACATCTTTTATTTTACCGCGTATAAAACAATTAGCCTCTTGATAACTGTGTAAAACTTGGGCACTGTGGTTGTATGTAATTCCATATTAATTAGATATATCACAGAGTGAAACAGTATTACTTAATGGATGACGTTTCGAACACAATTTATTGCTCAATTATAATGGATATGGTTATGAACAATGGAACGGACAACTCACTAACTTTTATAGTTGGATGCCTCTATATACAAAACGAAACCTGATCCGTTCAGTAAGCCATAGAATCCGTAGCATATGCAGCCCTGACACTATGGAAGAGGAACTAAACTCTTTGAAAAGAATTCTCCTTGAAAACGGCTACCGCCGAATGTTTCATCACTAAACCCACTCACACTTTTTGCTCTTGAAAGACTTCTCTACCCCAATCTACAAATCAAAGGGACTAATAGGCAGAAATACTAAGAAACCGCTGTCCCATTCATTGAAGAAAACCTTCGCCATTCTCCACAAAACCAATGATTCGCATGGATGTGAAGGATGAGCTGCCACTGTGTATCTATCAATTCACCTGCTCGTGTGGAGCTAGATATGTTGGCGGCCATGCGCAGCGTTGGTTATCCAAACGTATTATCAAACACTCACACTCATGATTTTATTAAGGAGAATAAAAATCCCCCCACAGCTCAATCGTGGAACACCTGATCGAGTCTTGAATCCAAGCCAACCCACAAACCAATTTCAAAGTTATCCATAGAAAAAGAGGGAATCTTGCTAAAAAGTACGAATAAAACTTCTTCAAACTACATAAGCACTGGCAATTGACATGTTGTATCCCTAGCTCTGAATACAGAAGAGGTTTGTTCAGTTACTACATTTACAATGGACCTGATCCGTCTCAACACCGAATGCGTAATATTTTGTTTTTCGTACTTTAATTGTATTGTCCTCTTTCCTCGCCCCCTATTCAATTTCTACCCCGTATTACCACTATTGTTAACTTGACTCTCGTTCAATTTTAGCTGGATTTTACTCAATTCCGTCAATTATATTAAGTCACTCAATTTACTTATTTAATGTTATTTTAGTTTTTACCCGATTAACACATCTTATATTATGTAATTTGCCATCTAAGAAAAATTTAAAATTCTAAACACACATCTTTGGATATGTTCCTTTTCTTGCTAAGATAATTTATATATATATATATGCAGTTGTTCAGCTTGAGAATAATATCACTGAAAAGAGTAACTCTTCGCTGAATGTATTTTCTTTTAAATGACTCATTGGGGATTTTTATTTCACCATCCAATCATTAATTTGGAGTCTGATTGTTCACTTGGGTCTTGTAGCTCAGTTGGTAGAGCGTAGGCCGGTTCGAATCCTGCCAGTGACCCTTATTTACATTTCACCTTCAATCATCACTCCATTACATCAATAAAATTTGCGTTGATTACAATCAATTCTCGAATATTTGAACTGATTTTGCATTTACTAGCCTTTTCCACTGACCTGTATATCATCGTTCTAACCTTTGCAAAACTCCTTTCAACTTAATCCTCATTATCTGTCTTTGTTTTAAGTTGATCTCTAGTTTTAATGCTTTTTTTTGCTATTGTGTGGTGGTGTTGATAATAATGTGTTGTTTTACAACCACGATTTTGTTTGAATAAAGTCAAAGTTATGCCGTGAAGTTGCTGCTTGACTTTGGACTGTCTACGGCGAGTGTCTTTGTTTTATTTGATTCTTGCGGACAGAGTTTTGATCTCAGCTTGTTGGGAATATTCTTAGGGATTCTCAGGTAGTTGAGTGTTATGTTTGGTTAAGTAGCCTTGTTGTATAGTGAGTATTTTGTACCTGAGATATTTTCTGGACTATGTATGTGGGTTTCGGTAAAAACTAAAGGCATGTTCATTGAAGAAGTCATCAATGATAACTGTCGAAGTCACTACTATCAAGGAATATTTACAATTAACGCTTGCATTTGTTTAAGTGTTTATAGAACTTCCGGAAAGAATTTTTAGTTTATGACTCATACTATCAGTACTGCATAGCTGTCAACTTCAAAACCATGTACAATCTTGATGGTGAGTTGGCAGAGTATTAGTGATACAATGTATGATAAGTGAGGGTGAAATGAAAATTCGGTTCGCAACAGGATTCCAAGCTGCAGCATGCGAATTACCACTACGACGCCCTATCAACCTGAGCTGTACGAGGACCCACTGACAATCTAAGTCATCATTTTCACTGCAATAGAAAAGTTGTTTCAAAGTTCAAATTCAAAGAAAACATTTCAAAACTAGAGTAAAGTTAATTACAATTAACACTTAATCATTGGAACTGTAAATAAATCCCTTTTTTTGAAAATGTTACCACATACACCAAAATATATAATTTCTGCTGTTTTCTAGCATTGATTTACAGGGATTTGATTGGTGGCTGTGGCGCTATATATTGCGAGCACGCAGAAATTAAAATTCATGGGCCATTAGATTCCCTCTCAGTGGCTGAATTTTCAACGGGCTCCCCATGTAATCTAAAGGTCCTGAGTTCGACTACATATGGAGTCACGCGTGCGTATCGCTGAAAAGCTTCACACTACGATATGGAGGCTGTTCAGTACTCTTTCATTTTCAGTGGTTCTCTAACTAATATCACTTTACGATAAATCAAATTCGCAATTTGCAACTTACACAGTTCGAAGTGGTCCCAAACGATCCAAACAGCTGTTCAGTTTTTAAACCACTTAGATTTGGTTAGCAAGCACCACTGTTCAATGCGAATAAGATACAACTACGCATCTCAGTCAATCAGTGGTAATATAGTTCATGATATAACTTTAAATTTTTATTGTCCTTCCAGCAACCTTACTTGCTATGTTAAGATAATTTCATGTCAATAATTCCATATAACAGTAAATGTTTCAATATGAATGTCTTAAAATCAGACCACCT